TCTATAAAATGACTAGCGAAGGCCCCACTGCCAAAAGATGGGTGAACATAAAGGCGCAAATTCAGAAACATCGCAGAACTTTGTCAAACACGGCCAGGTCCCCACTTAGAGGATAGGTCTCTAAACCACTCCCAGGGTCTCTCAAGTAGGGTTGAGACATCAAACGTTCACCAAAAAGCCCGTTCAAGTAATAACTATTGTAATTTTTTGTGTGTTTAATACGGTTTGTATTTATGTTTTATATTTAGCCCTGATTTCATTTATGTTTTAGAATGATTCTTTATGTTTTTGTTGTGTCTTTATGTGTTCTTTTCTGTTTAATGTGTTTGTCCTTTAAATTGCTTGAAATTTTAATGGTTTTGTCTTTTAAATTGCTTTCAGGCTTTAATGCTTTTAATTGCTTTAGCTATTTAGCTTCTTTTGTGTCTATTGTTTGCTGCATTTTTCTCTGTTGTTTTATTGCTATTATACTTCCGCGTTTAAGTAATATGTTTTCCTTGAGAAAAAGCTGTTTTAAGCTGTCGTTTCAGGTTTAGGGCCTGTTTCCATTCAACCCGTGCGTGTCTGTTTCGATATTTCCATAGGTTCCATGAAGCATCCTTGCGAAACAAAACTGGGCTGAAAAGAAGCTGGGCTGAAAATCTAAGAGGCTTAGAGGCGGACTGGTAGTGACCTTACACACGGTGTCACGGCCGAAAGAAGTTGGATACGGATAAGGGAAATCGGAAATATTCTTAGCACCCTCACCGCTAGCCTGCAAATGATTTTGTTGGCTCAAAGCTGTTGCTGTTAGCACACTGTCTCAATTTTTGGGCGAGCTGCAGGCGGATGTAGCACATGGCTTGACTAACCAACTAGCCGCAAGTAAAACATAATATATAGTTGACAGTTGACACAGAGAAGTTGGGACTAGTGACGAAGCTGCTAGCTACAGCTATTTGGTTTGACTACTGTAAGTGGCAGCCAGAAAAAGTGACTGTCGGCAGGCGGCCCTAGGCCCTAAATTTGGCTGCTCAGTTCGCAAAGGTCGGTCCTACCTGGCACCTCCCTACCAGCCTTCAGGGACCGTTTAAGGCTTAGGCTTAGCCGCCACATTGCTACCAACCTCGCACCTGGAGAGGGACCCCACGCAAATGAAAACATAAAATGTCGTCCAAAAACTGCCTGTATTGGCGCCAATATGTTTTTACTGTTCTATGTATGTTTTCTTTATGCTTTATATATGTTCTTGATATGTGCTTTATGTTTTTTTACCGTTGCCCGCACACAGCGTGCTATGCCTAAAAAAGTTTAGGGTTTAGGGTTTACCTTAGGCCTTGGCCCTTAAGCCTTAGGCCTTAGGCTGAAGCCCGGGGTAAGTGTAAACTTAGACTGTTTATTTTGTGGAGGAAAACACAGAAGGGCGGCTGCTGCTGCTGCTGCTGCTGCCGGCCCTGTAACCACCCTCCCCCACACCCCCTAGCCCTATACTCTATACTCTATACTCACTGCGTTCGCCCATCGACAACTCCAGCCTAGCCTATCGACTGGTTTTCGTTTTTACTACAGTTGCAAAGCTGTTACAGCAACCTGACAAAATTTGCTCGATTGTTTCAATTGTTTCCTCTAGTTTCATACCTAGCTAGCTAGCTGCTAAACGGCCCATTGTCGATGTTCACCCTAAGCCTTAGCAGAGCACTTTACCGCGACCGGGGCGGCAATTTGTCACAAGAACAAACATTTTCAGAGTCAGTAGTCAGTAGTCAGTAATGAGCTATGAATCACATCGGGTCATTGAGCATGACATACTGGTATCCCCAACAATCTATTACCGGACCGGGCTCTGATATCCGTAACAGCAAACAGCTGTGGCCACATGGCCAAGAAAACACAAGCCTCAATGGCCAACCAAGAAAAACAACACGGAAGAAAATATGGTTTTGTCAAATTCACGCCGCCATAATCTCAGTCGAACAGTGCAATATAGCTAGCAGATGACATTAATCATTACACATTGTTTAATGAAATTGAATGTGAATATGATCCACATGAACAAAAAACTAGTTCCTTTTTGAAAGAAAACAAAAATATTGAAGCCAACCACTACTAAAATTAAACAAACAAAGCAAAAAAAACAAAAAAAATAAACAAACATATTGAAAAAAAACACATTACATGAAACAAACACACACAAAATACAAACAAACATAATGAAACCATAGTAAAAACATAAATCATTAAAAGAAAAAAGCCTTAAACACCCTCACCTGGCTACACGTAAACTCACAAAAGTAGAGCTTTACCCAAAAGCCTGTGACCGTGGGATGGCTTCCAGCTAGTTACAAAGCCAGCTAGTCAATAAAATGCGGGGCGCAGGCGCAAGGGCTGTAGCAGGAACCCAGCAGGGGCATTGTGTATACCGTATCACCAACACTGCAAGAACAGCCCAGCAGGTGAAGTGCAGCTATAAACTACATCCAATTACAAAGCATGCTTGGCATGCTTGCCTATAAAATGGGGAAGGGCAGGTGTAAGGGCCCTAACGCCAGCAGGCACGCATCGGGAGCAATTTATATACTACCATTGTGCAAGGTAGGCCTGATTGCCTGTGTCTACATGCCAAAGGCCCAGAGACCCCGCTTTGGTCTCTAAATGTTTCTGATGTCAAGATTTGCCCAAAAGTCTCCATGTAGCCAACCAACACTGCAAGAAACGACCAGCAGGTGAATGCCAGCTAATTACAAAGCCTGCTTTGTCTATATTGAATTTCTTGAATAATTAGATAGTCTGTTGTCCTTTAAGTTGGACAATGTATGAACATGTCAAAGAACATTGACAAAACAGTCTAGTTTTTACAATGGCCTTGTTGGGTCCTGTACTCATCTAACACTAAAAACCAAATTGCCTATAAAATGCCCTGACCATGTCCCAGTATCAAATCTAAGAAAAATCCAATCCTCCTATAAAATTACCTTTGACTCTCAGAGCCTCAAAATCCTTTATATAAGTTTGCAAAATGCCAAAATGGATCTCATACCTCCAAATCCCTCCAAAACGCAACAAAATTCAGGCTGTGTCCCACCCATGTTGCCTATAAAATGGTCAGATTTGGCATAATATCGGGTAAAAGCATCGGCATTTTATAGGCTAACACCGCTGGGGGATCAGAAAGCATATATAATATATACCCTTTTCTTTCTACCCTGACCATGAGCTTCTGGTATTTCTCTAGCCCAACCAGCGCAGCTGACTGTTTGGGCCGTGCTAGCCCCACGAGAGCAAATAGGCAACTCTTACTTTTTTGACCGAAAGTGCCTCCGATCGTCTGCACAAAAGCCGTCGCATCAATCGAAGGATAGCCCGACAAACCTGCAGCAGCATGGACAAGCTGCAAAATGTATTTTTGCTCTAAAGGCAACTGTCTTACTGGATGGTGGTCTCCACTTGCAACAAATACAGCCTCACAAGGCTCCTCATACTCCAGGAGCTGGTGTAAGCTTGGAAAATCCTAAGATCGAGCGCTTACTAAAACGTCAAAACGCTTAAAAACATTGTGCAAGACTTAAAACACACCAAGAAAGGCCGCGACCTCATGAAATCCCTCGCCACTCCGCACCACAAGCTGGGTGGCTTCCACGCTGGGCAAGAAATCCTCCAAAGGGCTGTGTAAACAAGAGCATTCTCAGTTGCTGAAAGCATGAGAGAATCGTTCTCACATCTCTCTATGACGATCAAGCTGTTTGAGACGTTTGCAGACTTTTGCGTCATAGACTTTACCCTCACACTCGCAGGCAAGATCTCCTCCACCGCCATGATGCCATCATGGGACCCTTGCGGCTACTAGCTTCAAGGCACTAGGTGGAGCCTATGGTGGGCCTATGGCGGGCCTATGGCTTGCATGTGCAGCCTCTTCAATGCAGTTCAGCTGCTAACTCCGATGGTGTAAATAGGCCCAAACTATGCGAACATCTTTGCATGCATTGCATTGCTGTAGCTAAGCGTGTTTTTGTATGTGCCTATACAAGGCCTTGCAAGTGGCATTCTCAGTAGTAATGCACGCTGGATTGATGTACTCTATGTCGTGTTCTTGTTTGTGACCGACATATCATTTCTTGAGGTCAATGTTCTCACAGAGTGCGAGGATAGGCTGCTTCAAACGTGTCAAACATGTCAAATCGTTCTCTGTATATTTGTGGTTGAGAAGCTAAGTTACTCTGCGTGAGGACGCAAGTTTGTCTTCTCCTTTCTCCACGAGTTGCTGTGTCGGAGCAAGCAATGCAAATGGACAACAAACAGATTTCAAGGTCAGCAAACATCGAAAAGAGCTGTTGCAAGTTGCAAGTCTGCAACTGTTTGAGGTCGGATACTATAGAGGGACTTGGGATATCATACCCAACAGCAGCATTCTCCCCAAGCTTGTGAGCTCAAGCACTGCAAGTCGCAGTAAGCCCACATGCAGCGCAGTGCTGCAAACCACACAAAGCAGTGCCAGTGGCAAATTCATAGCTGCTTTCCTGTCAACAAGGAGATTTTGCAGCCAAGGTCGTGCAGAGCCAAAGTCGCAGCGTATCGGCAAAGTGTTGCAAAAAGCAGCTCCAGTCAATTTGTGGCCAGGTTCTCACTTGGGAAGTGCAACATTATGTTTCATGATTCCCTCACATATGAACTGATGCCGAGACTACAGCATGTCCTCTCTGACGCCTTCAAACGCAGAAAGTCCGGGGCAAGCAAATTAGAGCACTGACGCAGCTCTCACTGGTGTGGGTACCTCAAACCAATCTGCAATGGCTCAAGCCCTTTGACTTGCGTCGATGTAGCTGCTGTGTCAGCTCTGCTTGGAGCCCAACACCCGTAGACATCGGATCGAGAGTTTCCTCAAAAGGCAACGAAAACATGCATGTCAAGGCCACGAAGCTGGGTCATTGAACCTCGTTGACCAGTCCTGCTTTGCTTTGCATCCGTCGTTTTGTGACACCTCTGCTTTGCTGGGGAATGCCGCAAAAAGCCTTTGTTTGGCTATACAAGTCGAAATGAGGCCGTGGCGAATCCAAGCCCATCTAAAACCTCGTCCAGTGTTTTTTGTTGCCTTCATTATCTTCATTCACCCTCAACAAGACCATGCCTTGAGGGAGGTCATGGGACCTTCGTCAAAGTCTTTCAAGACGCTCCTCGCAGCCTCGTCTGTATTCTTCAGAACTTGTGTGAATGTAATCTCAACATTCACGCTTTGGCAGTGCAATCTCGGTACTTCAATATCTGTCCTTCATTCAATCTGGAAGCACTCGCATTCTGTAGACAAAACAGAACGGGTGTGTGTGTGTGTAGTGGCACCAAAGGATCCCACATTCAGCTGAAGCTCAGCTGCTGCGAGTTCCTAGCCAGGGCATACTCAGCTCTCAGAATAAGATATGTCATCGCCTATGTCTCAAATTTGTCGGATGGCACTCTATTTTTCTACACTGCATGTTCGCCGGGGTCGAAAAGTCTCGGGCCAAGGGGTAGGGCCGGGTAGGGGCTTTCCATTGGGAGGGCGGAACATGTTTGTTGGCCTCATACCAGATGTTGCCAGGGTCTTTGCTTTGCAAATTGGTTACGGCATCAAACTTTAATTACTCTATACTCTTCTGTGTACAGTGAGCGCAGAAACAAACAAGAAGGAAGCATCGTCAGTGCAAACACTTTGCCGGCTGACACCTGCTGCACGTCATTCAAAGACTCAAAGGCCATGCCCTCATCACCTCATAAGACAGGGATGTTCGAACCAGAGAATGTAAAGAGAAACAAACGAAAACAAACAAGCATACCAATACCAAACAATCCAAGCAAGTATAGTATATAAACTGACCGCCTCAAATCCGAGGCTGACACTCTGGGCTTGCCGCAAAGCCAACTCTGCCAGTTGTAGGGAATGCGCACTCTGCAACTGTCTTTGCCTTGCCTGCGCTTCTCTGAATAGAAGTGAGCATACCAAGGTGAACACGTGTGTCAGTCGTCGGGTGGCTGCAGTTGTAACATGCACATCCATAATGTCTGAAAGGCTTTCAACATCCAGCATCCAGCAAATGTTAGGATACACACAGAATATAATTCTAATCGACTCCCTTGGCCTCAATAAAAGCTTCAGATGCCTGTCGCTGGGTGCTGCCCGCATCCTGCCCACTGAAGGAGCTGCTCCCCAAAGGCATAACTTAATTGGGATGATTGTCCTGAACAGCTAGCTGCTCATCATCCGCTGGTGGAACTTCCTCGAAGATGATGGGAAAACCCAGCAACAAGCTGAATCTCACATGAAACACAAAGAAACGGAGAATGTTCTAACGAAAAAGCAATTGAAACAGGATGAAATTGTTGCTAGCTGCACCTGCAGGAGCTTGGAGAGGGCGCAACAAAGCTGTTCCAAGACAGCTTTGTCAAAGCCACCCCGCTTCTGGAGTGCACACAGCAGCCATTGACACTGTCCAAGTGTCAATACAACGGGGAACCATGCGCAACACAAAAATGTGACACTGTCAGCCCGACATCTCCTCTGGTGACAACTTCAGCGAAGATGAGGCGGCGTTTTTGAGAGAGTCTTCCAAATGAACGCGTGCCTCAAGTGGAAGAGAGTTCCAGATTTGCGAAGGAAAATCAACTCACTTGCTGAGAACAAGCTGAGGGCAAATCCAAGAGAAGAAGAACAGCTTCCGCGTGAGCTTGGATATCCTAGGTCTTTCATATCGGAGCCATCCTTCACCTAGGACTTAAAACAGTGGAAACGAGGCTCCCACGGAGCTCCCCTGTATGATCGCTGGCATGTGCCTCTCGGGGGAAATAAACTGCTTGGTACTGAACTAGACACAAACAAACAAACAAACAAACAAACAAACACACAAACAAACAAACAAACAAACAAACAAGCAAGCAAGCAAGCAAGCAAGCAAGCAAGCAAACAAACAAACAAACAAACAAACAATATATATATATATAGTATATATTATATATATACAAACCAAAAACAACCCCCTGCCTCTGCACAGCAAGTTCCAGCTCTTGTCTGCAGCCTGTCACCTTTGCCATTTCCAGCTACATACGCAAAATGGGCACCAACCAACCACACTCAAGGTCTCATGAGGACCAGCGAGGGTCGCAGTGATAGAGCGAAGGTGTACCAAGTGCCACATCAAAACCAGTCAGAATCCAAACCATCTACTCGAGCCTCTACCCTCCAAACCTACATTGCCCAGCCTTCGCAAGTTTGGCTTGGCATATCTTCAGCTCCTCAATCCATGGTGATGAACCCAGGACATGCTTGTGCTGCCGCTTCGTGAGTTCCTCATCTGCTCCATTCAATGCCTTCCGCTTGACTTGAAGGATCTTGTTGTCTTCCAGGAAGGAAGTCTGCACAGATGCAGAAAGACAAACTGGCAAAGCATTGATAGAATGCCCCTAACCTTCGCAGAGCGGAAGGCCGTCACTGTGGCAGCGAAGCCCTCGCAGTGGAAGAGTTCTTTTACAATGTAGCGTCTTTTTGGAACTCGTTAGCACCAGTCGGTTTACCTCCTTGGCAAGGCGAAGATCCTCAGCTCGAGCCTTCAAAATATTTTAACGTATACAGTCACAAGTACATCATGTGTAACATAAGTAACTGTTCAACTGCTTGCTATACACATTGAAAACAAGCTCTGTCCAGTGGCCTTGGCAGTGCACTTGAACTTCTCTGCCTTCCAAACAAAACATGTTTCTTAGTAAAGGACAACACTCTGAACTTATGCTGATCGCGCACAGGCTGCCTGGTCTGCAGCCTTTTGGCAATCAACGCGCAGACCCTCTTGGTTTGTGCGGAAGGCCTGTCAAGAAAGGTAAAGCCAGCCATGGCAGAATTATTTCTCTGTGCACCCAACCCTCGCATACATTTACAAATGGTGTTTATTCTTTGGCTGGAGTCCTTCAACAGAGATTGAGGATGTTCAATCAACAAGTCTTTCATCCTTGGAAGATCTATATAATAATATATATAGAACTCTTCTGGCTTGGGATTACTCGCACTCGTCGTATCTGGTTGTCACTGATAATGTGTCTCCATTTGGTCAGGGTCAGGGTTGGTTGTGCTTAGTTGTCTGTCAGTTTGCCAAAATGCAGTCTTGGTCATGTAAAAATGATGCAAATTCACACAGTTCACAGCAATCTAGTTTTGCAAGCGCTAGTTAACCGAAGAGGGCATTCGACTGGTTCATCGGCGTTTGGGACGCTGTATCAACCCTCTTCCATCGGAGCTGCGCCCTCAAATTCTGGGAGGCAATCGCGGAATGCATGATACAACAAAGAGGACATTTTTGTTGGCAAACTTCAACACAACTTCTGATCAATGGATTCAATGTCCTCCGGCCAGCTCCAAGAAAGTACACCTTCTTAAAGTGTTTGTCTGTATGTGGGCAATGAAAATCATCAAGCGGTTGACCAGCACACCTCATTGGTCAGCTCTGCTCCAAGAATTTGAAGCCGGTGCCGTTCCTGCCAAAATCATTTCGACTCTTCCAAGTTTCAAAGGTGACAGTGTTCCTGGCTCATAATCCTCACTTGTCCAAAAGCCTGAACTGGATTTGGTCCTGGGGGCATGTCCTCAGGCTCCCCCTCGCAAGGAGACGCAACCTGGGACCGGGACCCCCTTTAGATGCACATAATGCATAATTTTTGCTGGCTTGTGTGTGCTGCACGATTGTGCACGCTGTCTCTGCGCTTTGCATCGCTAACCCATGAAAGACTTTGAGACAAGGGGGGTGCGTACACCTTGGAATCACAGGTCATCTTTTGGTTCTGTAGCAGGGGACAGGAGGCCCATAGAGCTGTGCCCAACGAGATCTCGCCAGCCGTTGCATCGGTTTTGCGCTCTGCAGCC